AGGGGTAGAAGATGCATATTTGTTTTTGTGCAGTATTCATTTACTTATAATTGTGTGGATGAAAATCTTAGCTTAGTAGGCATTCATGTGAAATTAGTTGCACGAGGAACTCAGAACACGGGTTCCGTGAGGAACTCAGGAGGACAAGGACGAGGATGGGGAAGATGATGCCAAGAATGAAGAAAATGAAGAAATTAAAATTAATTATAATTTAATTATAATGCATTATAAAAAAGAAAAAGAAAAAGTCCACATGGATTAATAAATTTGACATAACGTCTTGGTTCCTAATTCCATGAGGAACCCAGGAGGATGAAGAGGAAGATGATAAAGATGATGTTGGGAAAGAAGAAAATGAAAAAATTAAAATAAATTATGATTTAATTATGCCATGTCATAAAAAAAAAGTTTACATTGGATTAATAAGATGATATAACGATTATATTACTGTTTGATGTCACGTATTATAATTTTTAATGGTTATTAACGGTTCCGTAACAGCACATTAAAATATTAAATTTTTTATAGGTTTTGAAAAGTGGAGGGTGTGAATAGAGAGGAAAAATTTTGGAAGGTGTTGACCACAAAAAAAAATAAATGAAGGGTGCAAATAAGGGTTTTGGCCTTTTTCAAGATGTGTGTGAATATGAAAGTTCAGGTTTTCAGCAAAAACAAAAAGCATAGGCCTAGGTCCAATACCAGGTGGCCTAGTGGTTACTAGCTTGATAGAAAGTGCCAGGTCGTAAAATCCTGATTCAGTACCTAAACATTATTTCTCATCTCCACAAATTTCATAAGTTCATAAAAAATAATTAAAAAAAAAGAAAAAAAGAGGGAGCATAGGCCTAGATTCTGTTCCAGTACCCAGGAAAAAGAGAAAATCTGGGTCTCTAATCTGTTGTTATCCGTGTCAACAAATTGTCACACATATGGACGTGAGTATGTTCTAAACACTGTCGTCTATAGCAAAGACGTTAAACAATTTTCAGTAGATGTTAAGGGTGCTCTATTAAAATGAAGTTAAATAATTTTCAGTAAATGTTAAAGGTGCTTGATTAAAAAGATGTTAAAACAATTTTAAGTAGATGTCACCTTAATAGAACTGCGGGTTCAACTCTGGCTACATTCACCCATCCCAAATTCTCCGCTGTTAAAAATGTCACCCAAAATGTACACCCTACGTGCAGGCGCAGCGAGCAGATTTCAACAATATGAATCTTCAGTTGGGTCCAAAATAAGCTAAATTGCACAAAACATTTCAGAGTGAAAATCACAATCATCAGCCCTTTTTAAGCGAAACGTGCATGATTAAGAAGAAGGTTGTATGAAGGTGGAGATAAGACAGGGTGAGGTGTATGGTTGTGCACTAGGACAGGTGGAGATGAGGGATTTAATAAATTGTACCTAGAAGTGGTGATGGGAAGTCAATGGTATTAGCTGTTTTAGAGTTTGGACCCAAAATCATGTGGGCATGTAATCAAATCTTTGACACCAATGACCAAAAGCAGCCAGGGACCATGTATTTACACCCATCCCTATTATTTTCCTCAGTTTTCTAAAATTTTAGTAGCTTGATTTTATCCCTCAAAAAAAGTATCAATTTTATTCGTAAAATTGTCTGTTATGTTGACGGCATTAGGAGTTCGCCGTGTGCCTCCTTTCAACTGGTCATTGAATGATTGGCCTATTAATTGGCAAGCAATGATCTGAGTAATGTGACGGCGTCTAACCCGTTAACCCATGCTTTATACTTAGTGCCATGTTGGAGGAAATAAGAGTTTGTTTGAATTGGTATTTAAGGAATTAAAATCTTTAATTTGAGATCAATTTTTAGATGTTCAAATTTTTACGATCATCTAATCTTTTGATGTAGCAAAAAAGTTTTAGGGGAATAATGGTCCAGGCTAGATTGATAGTGTCTCTTTTTCAAATTTTCTAAAATTTTATTAGTTTGATTTTATATTAAAAAAGTATCAATTTTATTAGTAAATTTTGAGTAAACAGCCTTTTTATGGATTATAACGTAATCCTCATGTTAATTTAAATAAATATATATATGTAAAGTTTAAATTTAAATTTTCAAAATTTTAATTGGGACACCTGTTTGTGAGTATATACATTTCATTTTTTTTTTTAACACTTAGGAATATTAATATAAATATGCTTCCAAAAAATTGTTGTTTTCTAAGTCATTTAAGTTTTAAGGGGAGCTAATACTAAGTGAAATTAATTTTTTCAAATGTATTAAATTAATACGAGAAATATATCATTAAAACTGTTTACAAAACTAATTCTAAAGTGCACGCAAATAGTGATCAATAGTTTAGATAGTTACAAAATATTGTTTAAAAATATTGATTTTATTTAATGTAATTGTTGAAAATAAATGATAATTAATACAATAATTAATATTTATTATTTAATAAGTTAAAATCAATTTATATATTGATATTTTAAAATATTATAATTAATTATTTAAAAAATTATAAATTAATAAAATATTAATTAAGTTAAATGAAATTCGTATAACCTTAATAAAGTTGTGTGATCATAATCATACATGTCCAATTACATGCTCTTCCGTTGTGCTTCTAAAAATAGATTATCGTTATGATCATAATTAAATTTGTTAAATTCATTAAAATTGTTAAAATTTTATTTTAATTGTTTTCTTGAACAATGAGAAATTTTTTCGGGAAAAGGGGACTTAAGATTAGAGCTCAAATCTTGATAGTTCTAAGCACGTCCTGCAAGGAGAGACTAGTAGGGCCTGAAATGTTGGATAAAATTTTATTTTAATTTAATTGTTAAAAATAATTAATAATTGATAGAATAATTAATAATTAATTTTTATTATTTAATAACTTAAAATTAATTTATTAACAAGTATTTTTAAATAACATAATTACTTATTTTAAAAAAATTACTAAAATTACAATTAAAAAATTAAGGAAAAACCCTTCTGAAGCCCACAAACTTACCCCAAAATAATATTTAAGCTACTAAACTAAAAATAAAACAGATAAGCCCTCTAATTCCACTAACAATATAAATAAACTTTTCTCAAAAATGAGTTAAACGGTATTTCATGTTTAATATCACCTTAAAAACATGAATACCTATCAACAAGAAAAACTTATTTGCATTATTAGTGGAGTTAGAGGGTTTATTTACTTTATTTTTAGTTTAGAGACTTAAATGTTATTTTGGGATAAGTTTGAGGGCTTAAAAAGGATTTTTGCCTAAAATAAAAAACGTAAACAAATTTAGTCGCCCGCAATATAGCAGCAGCCAAAAAACGTAGCTGTCGTCTTTTTGGTCTAATCAATGCCTAAAACCTTGTCAGCCCCACCAATAATTTTCTCCACGATATTGATCTCTTCTTCATTCCCCTTTATTTATGACACTGCCTTGTATCATCATCCTACCAGACTAACTTTAATTTCTTTCTTATAACTTTTCAGGAGCTTGTTTAAAGATTTTAATGAAACACACACACACACAAATAATAATAATAAATAAAAGATTGAAAGGAAATGTAAATATGAGAAAAATGAATTTTTCTATGAAGCACCCTCGGTATTCATTCCTCACTCTACAGTCTCGGGCTGCCGCTATGATTGATAGAAATTTCATCAATTCTTTAGGGTTAGGAAGCACATAGGAAGAGTACCCCAAAGAACGTGAAAATTAGCTAAAAGGGCATATTGCATTGTCTATCCGCAGGACACCCTCAATAATACACACATGCACTTGTCTTTAATTTAGGTTACAATTAATATTTTGTAAAATAAAAACAAAATTTGAGGTCGACTTGTGAGATAAAAATGTAAAAATATTTGTAAAATTATTTAAATATTTTAAATTAATCATCTATTAGTGTTGATTTATTTATGATATTTAAATCCTTTTTATAAACATATAGATACACTTTTTTAAACAACTTAATTAAAAATTGATATTTTTAAATAAAAATTATGTATATATATGTGTATAAATCATATACCTCTAACTATAACAAGTCATCTCATTTATATCACATTGAAAGTGTGGACAAAACAAAGAGTATCTTATGCCTGAATAGACTCAGACGTGTAAATCCAATCAATAATTAAGACAAGAATTATGGGTTCAAACACCATCCACTTAATTAAGTAATTGTTTCGTCTCAAAAAGCTTAAGTCCCTACTACATGAGAAGGAAAGATTAGTACCATAAACAGGGTTGGGAGGAAATTAAGGGTGTTAAAGTTGCTAAAGTCATGTAGGTGTGAGACTGTGTGGTGTTCCTCAGCATTCTTAAATGCTCCAACCCAACACATCCCACTCGGCGCCTCGCAAGTTATTGCTGTGTCGATGGTGACGGTTTCTATTGCTAAAAGTTGCTCAGCAACTGCCTTTACCGTGCTTCTTTTCCTGAATCCCCTCATCTTTTCCTGAATCCCCTCATATTTTCCCTTTATAAGTGACCCATAATATTCCTTCTTTCTCATACTCTCAATCTCAGAAGTTGATTTCCATGGAGCTCAAATCTACCGTCTCCGTTGTCTTCCTCCTCCTGCTTCTCCTCGCCACCCCTCGCATCTCTAGAGGTATGATAGCTAGTTAATGTCAATATGTATGCTGCAAATTATACTTTTATATATAGTTAAAGGATTGATGGGTCTGTTTGTTTCTTGGTGTTAAAGGGAGCTCGGATGCTTTGGATACGGAGGTGTATCAGATTGATTACCGAGGTCCAGAGACCCACTCTTCAATCCCCCCGCCGGACCATTATGGCGGTGGCAGGCCTTTTATTCACCGACAGAGCGCCCGCGGCAACAGGGAAGGAAATGTAAAACTTAACTCATCCGTGACCTTTGAAGCAATTCTTTTTCTAATTTGTTTTGATTTGATTTGATTACAACATATTGTTTTAGGTCTGGCTTGGATTTTAAAATTCTTTCGTTTCTAATGAAGTTGAGGTCAAGTTAAGCTTAATTTTTCAGAAGTTTATGCTATGAATCTTTGGTTTCTAGAATGAAGTTTTGCTAAATAGATTTCTAACTGATAATTTTCACTAATTTATAAAACTCAACTATTTTTTCAGTCTCGAACTGTTAAAAACTTGCCGTCCCAACATGAAATGTACACTGTGCCCAACTTTTTCTTTTTTCTTCTTCCATTTCCATTCATTAACAATAAAATGGGTATTTCAAGTTCAAATTAGTTCTCTCACTCAGTCCAGATTGAAGAAAGGGTTTTTATTATTAAAATTATTTATAATAATTTTACATAATTTCATGATTTCTTCATTTGTTATTTGTTCTTATCTGCAGGCCAAGAAAATCCATGGGTGAAGAAGTTCTAGAAGCCTGAGGGGTAATTTTTGGTGGTAGTTATTATATCCCTACAGTTTCTTCTCCATATATATGGATACCAGAAAAGATTCGCAATGGAAGTCTGATGCTATCTTTAGCAATTATCTATCTATATAATTGTAAATGCTAATTGTGTGATTTTTAAATCTTATGTTTAAGTAAATGTGATGCTATATATCACTAAGAAGTGAAGTTCTTGCCATTGGCAAAGGCTCTATTAAGCATATTCCATCAGTCCAGTCCAATACAACGTGAGCAAAGGTTTTTCTTAGTTGCGAACCATGTTCGTGACCTAATAGTAAGAGCTTAATAGTGTGACACTTCAATCCTGACTTCGAGTTCAACTACTAACATTACTCTTCAACCCCCTTATATGTAATTGTAATGGATAATTATCTTATTAAAAAAAGGGGGGTTTTCTTGTCCATTTGCATCTAAAGAAAAATTACATAAGAGATGTTGTTAATGAGTTATTGTTGTAATAGTTATATGACATACCCAAGAGATCTAATTCTCTTGATTGTAGGTGGAACTTATAGATTTATTATTTGTTTTTTTTTTCTTTAATATTGAGTTGCATAATAAAAAGTAATTTTCTCATTTCTTTTAACTTTACTCTACTCTCATGTAATGTAATTCGAACTCAAGATCTTTTATTTTTATAAAAAGAAGATTACCACCGAACTACAATTTATATATTTATCACTTTTCTTTGAGTTTCGAAAATTTTGGGGAGGGAGGTTAGTAGTGCTTAAATATAGAATCCAAGACTTCATGTCCAAGTACCTTCCCTCAAGAGAATGGCTATTAAGCCACTGAGTGCTAAAGATATATCTTTATTACTTGGTATGCTATAGAAAATATTTTTGAATGGAGAAATGGTGCAAATAAGGATGTGACCTTTGCTTAATTTTGTTAATTTTTCAATAAGGATATCAACTTTCAACTTTTTTTATTTAAGCATGTGAATTTTAAATTTTTTCTATTTAAAAATATCAACTTTCAATGTTTTAGTTAAAAAATTTGTTTGTTATGTTATCATTATCATCTAATTAATCTTTAAATTAAAAAAATAAAAATTAACATCTTTAAATTGAAAAAATTGAAAGTTGACAATCTTATTTAAAAATTAACGAAGTTAATATTCTTCAATAGGAAAAAATCTAAAATTAACATCCTTATTTACCTCTTTTCTCTCTTTGAATGATTGGAGATTATTGTACGTACCTTGGTTATTGCTTTTCAATCAATTGTAGAGATGAAAGGTGCGGGGTCTCATTTCTATCCAATTAATGCCAATTGAAACTGGTCCAATATCAATTAGAACCAGAAACAAAATAAAAGAAAATAAATTTAAAAAGTAGCTTTGCAGTTGGATTATAGGTGCCATTTCATATTGAAAGGTCTTTTTTTTTCATTTATGATTTTAAGCTGTATAGCTTGTGCAAAATAGACTCCACCTCACTTTCCGTTAAGAATTATACAACCGAAAGTCAAAGAGAGATTTGTTTTTTTGAAAAAAAAAAAAATTAAGGTAATATTTTCTGGCAAAAAATAAAGGAAAAATGATGAAAAATAATAATAAATGCAATTACATTTTGGGTAAGGATGGGTTGGGACATGTGGGCTTCTATCTATGTTCAGTGTCAGCCGAAAATGTCAGGTTGTACATGGGCCGAATCTGGGCTTGGAATGAAAAGGTTATCTGAGGTTAATATGAATATGATAGCGAGCCGTGGCAAAACATCTAAAGCAGGGAGCACAGTAGAGATGCTACATAATTTACAGTGATATATGGATTTTTTTTTATAATTTTTATATATAATTAAATAAAAAAATACATTTAATATTATGAATGTGTAAAATTATATAAAAGAATAATATATAAAAATTATCCTTAATTATCTTTTGAAAATAAAATTATGTTTATTTTAAGTGAATTATAGTAACAATGTAAAATTTATGGTGTAAACTGTAAAATACAATGTGGATGGTTAATGGTCTCAAAGTTAAGAAAAAAAAAAAAGGGGGAGGTGGGCTTGGCCCCTGGGGGGTTATCCCTCCGACCACAGCCGCTTCTAAGAAAACGTTCGGACAGGTGGAACAACTGAAGAAGATCGTTTCCTAGGAAAGATCGAAAATTTTGACCTCTTCTTCGACTCTTCATTTTGCTCAGCTCCAAATCCATTCTATGGTTCCAATTTCACCTCTTTTCTCCACCATCTCTGTGTTCTCCCCTAATTTTGTTCTGGTATTCGGGTCTTTGATCTTCTTACCAGGAAAACCCACAATGGCGAGCGGTGGTGGCGACGATCATCATGGGGAATCTAGCCCTCTCTTGAGCGAGAACGTTGAGAAAGACTAATGCAAAGTAAGTAGCAATGAAAATGACAATGAGCCTAAGGACGCCGAAATAACTGCATCACCGGATTCGGCTTATGTTTTTTGCAGGAGCTGGGTATGGGTGGATCGCCGATGGTCTGCCGTTGGTCCACGGGAGCATGTTTGGTGAGCCGATTGCTCGGGAACAGGGGGACTCCAGCCTCATGGCTTGGAAAAATTCGATTGTATCCCCGGGGTACCATTTGGTATCCCGGGCCAATAAGAGCATGCCATCTCTTTTCTTTTTTTTTTTCGTCAAATGATCGCTGAAGTGTAAAAAAAATGCTGAAATAATGTATTTTTATTGGCCGGATACCACTCATGGCTTGTCTTGGCCACAATGATGAGTTCTGCTGCAGCGACCTAGAAGTCTGCAAGGCTGCTATTGTTGCTGGAACATTATTCTTCAACTCCATTTCATGCCATTGTTGTTGAGTCAGTTGTAAGATTAAAAAAAAATAATTATTATTAAATTTATCAATAAAACTATATCATTAAGATTGGTATAAAAAATTTATTTATTTTAAAGTAATTTATGTTTTTGTCCAAAATAAATCGATTGGTGCAATAGAGATATACATAACACATCAACTTTAAAATATTATAATTTTATAATAATATTTTATGACTATACATTATTTATAAAATTATCTAATTCAAAACACATTCATTTATCAAGACACCTTTCTTTATCAAAAAAATATTTAAAAGATAGAGTAAGCTAGGTAATTAAAAAAGTGGAAGAATATAAAGGAATTTCACCTTAGTTGAGTAAAATGATATGTTTTATTTATTGAACACATAATCATATAACTTCTATTTGTAAGTTAATAATAGAAATAAATTAAGTAATTATTATAAAATAATATGCTATTAAATAAGATAATTAAGGCACACTAGTTAGTTTGATCAAATCTTGAATAAGA